ATAAAATCTGAACCCATAAAGTTCAAATCTTGGATCTGCCTCTGATATTTTAGCATGCGAGAGTCCATCAATATATGCAATAGAGATGCTTTAATGTACCTTTGTGCAGAATTCCTTGAGGATTTTAAAAGTCAAGAGAAATTCAATAGAAAAACTAAAATTTTCTAAGAACGGTATGAATAGTTGAGAATTAGAGAACAAGAAGATGACAATCATTAAGTATTGGAGGGTTAAAATAGATCTTTAATTATTTATAATAATTTAGATACATGTTAAACACAATTATTGGAACACATAACTCTTTGAAGAGGCAAGTGTATATAAATTAAACTCCATATTATTCATTTGACTTTATTTGGGTCGGCTTCATTCCTATACTAAATAATTTATCCAAACTATGGATATAAATATCTAATGAACTATCCATAATCACTTGATATCGCTGATTTTTGCTTCCTTTGTGTTCAATCCTTCATTAAGCTAAGTCACATGAATACTTAGAGAGTTTAATTTTTTTTACAGAACTTCCTTCTGCTAACCGTTTGAATATTTTTCATGAGAAAGTCATTTTTTCGTATTTTGTCACTAGAAATTTTCTATCTCAAAAAGGAAATGACTTATCTCAACTATATGGACAAAAGCCGTTTTCTTAGAACTGTATTAACTTTTAATTTTATATCAATTCTAGTGTCAACCAACACTTACACGTTTTTATCAATTTTTAATGCTGAGAAATTTGATCAACACACTATCCGATTTGCTAATATTTTTATTATTAATTTTAACATATATTTTCTCAGAAATTCTTTTTCACTCACCAACACCAAAAAATATACTCCCTCCGTTTCAATTTATGTGAACCTATTTCCTTTTTGGTCCGTCCCAAAAAGAATGACCCCTTTCTAAATTTGGAAACAATTTAGCTTAAACTTACAATTCTACCCTTAATGAAAAACTTTTATAACCACACAAATACTCTGGGCCCCTTTTTGACTTGCTTAGGACCACAAATTCTAAAAGTCTTCATTTTTTCTTAAATTCTGTGCCCAGTCAAACAGGTTCACATAAATTGGAACGGAGGGAGTATATTTTTCAACGATCATATTTTCCGCGTAAAAGATATATTTCCAAATAATATTTCTATTTAAAACAAAGTAATTTTCATCACACTAAACACACGTAATTCTATTCCCTTAGAATTATTGCTTATAGATTGGCCACTAAATAATATTCCATACACAATACACACGGGAAGGAGGGATTGACGCTGATCAAGAATTTAAATTTTATTTGTTCAATTCTTATGGTTCTTGGCATTAATACCAATTATATTCTAAAAGTTATGGTTCATATATGCTATTTGTTATAATTTAGTAGAATTTTTGTCATGACCCGGAAATTCCATTTACGGGACCGTGATGACGCCTAACATTTCACTTGCTAGGCAAGCCAACGTTAGAATAATTTTCCCAGTTTTAACAGTTCAAATTAAATGATGATAAAGAAGCTGAAATAACTGCAATACATGTGGGGAAAAATACGAAAAACCAAACTAACTGAAACATCTAATACAATCTTGAATCCGGTGTCACAAGTGCACGATTTACTAGAATAGTACAAATGAAGGTTTGAATAAAATAGAGTTGTATGAGAGAAAGTACAAAGCTAAAATAAAAATAAGGGGACTTTAGGGGTTGCGAACGCCGAGCAGTAGTACCTCAAATCTCCACTCAATTGCCGAACCGAGCAATCTACAGACCGCAGCTAGGACCGACTCCAAAATCTGCACATGAAGTGCATAGTGTAGTATGAGTGCAACTGACCCTATGTACTCTGTAAGTGTCGAGTCTGACCTCGACGAAGTAGTAACGAGGCTAAGGCAGTCACTTACGATAACCTATACACAGTATAAAAAATAATGGCAGGAAAGAAAATGCACGAACGAATTAAAGCAGTTAATACGTGAAAATAACTCAACCTCCAAAGGAAAATCGGTAAAAGCCAGAAATACCAATCCCTAGAGTCTCGTATGAAAATACCGAAGCCAACACAACACGATAAGGAAATAGAAACACATAGATTGTTACGACGTGCAACCCGATCCCACCGTACAACACAATCCTCCCTTATTTCACCATAATAATATCAACAATAATAAATAAATATATATTGCGGCGCGCAACCCGATCCCACCATATAACATAATCAATATCATAATTCACCCTTATTTTACCGTATCAATCCACCCTTATTTCACCTGTTGCGGTGTGCAATCCGATCCCACTGTATCAATATAAATTCACCTTTATTTCTCCATATTAATCCACCCTTATTTCATCTGTTGTGGCGCGCAATCCAATCCCACCGTACAGTATAAATAAATCAATAAGTGCAATTAATTTAACAACTTAAATCACAAGATTCCTCTACGAGTAATGAATATGAAGCAGAAACAGAAAGAAAAATCTCGTCTCAAATTAAGAATCCACTATAATTAATACTAAATAGCAAGACAATTCAATAAATGACAACTAAGGGTACAAGTAAGTCATTTAAGGCAACTAGCAGTAAGTCATAAAAGCATGAAAAAATCTAATATTTTTAACATGAAATAATAAGTGACAAGTAGCAAATAAAAGGATGGGAAGCATTTAAAGCACGTAACAGTGGCATGCAAGGAAATAATTAATGAAATGCGAAAAATCAGGGAAACAAGTAATTCAGCGGCGTATAAGCACTCGTAACCTCGCATGTACGCTGCAACACATGAATTTCACATAGCACATAGTTCAAGGGTTCCTAATACCCTCAAATCAAGGTTAAACTCATCACTTACCTCACTCTGCAGTCAACTCAGAGCTCTACCGTCGGCTTTTCTCTATAATCCGCCTCCAAACCAACCGTATCTAACCAGAATCGACTCGAAATAATGCTAAGAAAATCAATTGCAATACATAAAGCTGGAATTTTAACACTTCTCTCAAAAGTCAAAGAAAGTCAACCCATACCCGCTTGGTCAAAACCTGAGATTCGGACCAAAACTCATTTATCCATCACCCCTGAGCCCGATTATGTAATTAGTTTTGAAATTTGACCCCAAATTGAGGTCTAAATCCCGAATCTGAAAACCCTCTCTCAATTCTTCCTAAATCCCTAGTTTTCTACCATGGAAGAATAAAGATTAAGGCTAGAAGTTAATGGGTGATGTTAGAAATGGAAGAAAATGAATTAAAGTATACTAACCTATGAATTGTTGATGAATTTTCTCTTAAAAATCGCCTTTAGGCCAAGCTCTAATGGAAAAATGGTGAAAAATGGGTGAAATCCCGTGTTTTGAAATATTTAAGGTCTGTGCGTTAGGTCTTCATCGCGATTGCGAAGGACCTGACACATTCGCAATACACAGCAGCCAAGACGGCCTTCGCGTTCGCAAAATGTCCCTCACATTCGCGATGGCTCTTCCCCCTAGTCATCGCGTTCGCGGCCCCAGTGACCCCGTTCGCGAAGAACATGAACCCAGTACCCCCATCCCCCAGGTCTATAACCTTACGCGTTCGCGACGCGAGGAGAATTCTCCCCGAGCCCCAATTTACGGTTCGTGATCGCGGGAGTATCTTCGCGATAGAACCAACAGAAATCAAACCGGCAATTTTTACTAAGGTTAAAACAATATGTGTCCTATCTGAAACTCACCTGAACCCTCGTGGCTCCAAACCAAACATGCAAACAAGTTCAAAAATATTATATGAACTCGCTCGGGCGATCAAAATACCAAAATAACACCTAGAACTACGAATCGAACACCAAAACGAATGAAATTTTTAATAAAGCTTAAGAACTTTTATTTTAATAATCGGGCGTCCGAATCACGTCAAATCAATTCCGTTTTGAATCCAGTTTTGCAAACAAGTCATAAATACTGAAACGGACCTATATCATGTTCTGTAACCGAAATCCGGACTCGGTAGCAATAAAATCAAACATCCGTCAAATTTATAAATTCTTTAAGCCTTTAAACTTTAAATTTTCAACAAATTGCGATAACTCGAGTTAGGGACCTCTGAATTTGATTTCAGACATATGCCCAAGTCCCAAATCACGATATGGATCCATCAGGACCGTCAAAATACGGATCCGAATCCGTTTGCTCAAAACGTTGACCGAAGTCAACCCAAATAAATTTTAAGGCATGAATTCACATTTTAATCAATTTTTCACATAAAAGCCTTCCGGAAAAAGACACAGACTACACATGCAAATCGAGGAAGGCTAAAATGAGCTATTTGAGGTTTCGGAACACATAATTATGGGTTAAAGCTCTAGATGACCTATCGGATCATCACAATATTATAAGTTGTGGGTTCATATATACTATTTGTTATAATTTAATAGAATTCTATACATAAATTTATACTCCACGCTGAAAGTACGTAGTGGGTTCAGTTGAATTCGATAACATATACTGCATCCGCCCTTGAGAAAACATATCTTTTAGGAGAATATCTTTCGTAATAGACATTTTTCCAAAAACTATTTCTATTTAAAAAAAAAAAAAAAAAAAAAAAAAATTCACACTAACACATGTAAAACTTTCTTGTGAGATACAGTTTTCTAGGTGGGATTTGGATGGAACAAGATACTCTTTCATTTATATAGGTCATGGAGTCCCTCAATATTCCCTTAGAATTATTGCCTATAGATTGGCCACTATATAGTATTCCAATTCTATACACAATACACACGGGAAGAAGGGATAGAGGCGTATTCAAAATTTAAATTTTATGAGTTTAATTTTTGAGGTTTTTGCATCGAACCAATTTTATTTTTAAAAGTTATGAATTTATACGTACTCTTTATTGTAATTTAGTAGAATTTTATACATTAATTTATATTGTCACGCTGAAAATAGTGCAGTCAATTGAACCTGGTAGCATTACACTGAATCCGGCCCCGAGAAGGGAGCTAGAGAGAGATTGCAAGAAGCTATTGACTGATAAGTGTTAAGATTAATTAGTTGGATTTATATTAATTAGATAAATACAAGAGAAGTTCAGCAACTGTAAGGAGGATTAACTCATGTACAAGCTTGGCTTAGTTCATCTAGAAGATAAAGCAAAGAGAGGGACTGATGTTGTAATATCTCTTACTCCTTGCTGGTGAAAAATGCTTTGATCTCTTATCTCCTGAATTCGAACAGCAAAAAAAAAAAAAAGGAAATTAATTAGGATTAAAATGGAGGAATTAAAAGAAAATTAAAAAAACATAGAGAATTAATTATCTCTCCTTTACCTAAGTAATTACAGAGGAGATTTACATGGACAAAGGCAAGGCCTTAGTAGTAAAGTGATCCTGCAGAAAGAACAAAAAAATATCAGTGGAATTTATGTGACATTATTTCATTATTAATTTGTTAAATAAAGAATGACATGTTTCTATATTTGCAAATAAGTTAATTTTAGACTTTGAATTCTATCTTTAACAAAGGCAGACCTATGTATTGAATTGAGGGGTCACCGGACCCCGTTAGCCTCGTCCAAAGGCAAACCTATATATTTATGTTGAAAACGGTCATATAATTTGCTTGAAACCCTTAAGATCAAAAGGTCGATGGGACACTGGTTGAGCAGTCCACTCATGTGCACCCGCCACCTTAAAATCCTGAATCTTCCTGATCTTTGACGAGAAGTTTTTATAGCCAACACAAATATTATGACATATTTAAGATCATAAGTAATTTCAAAGTTGCTCTTCTCTTTTTTAAACTCCGTCTTAAATCAAATTAATTAGGTCACATAAATTGAAACGGTGGAGTATCATATAACTCTTAATAATATCAGACTTACCCTGCCACCAATTTCCTCTTGAAGCAGAGTTTGAACCATCACCTCCCCCATCTTTCTTCACCTAATCAAGTAAGCAGAAAAATACAAAATTCATAAACTGAAAAACAAAACTAAGTAATATTATCTACTCAAAAATGTGGACGCTAATTTCAGTTACTTTTCACCGGTAAATATTTTGATATACTTACAATATTACCCTGAGAGCCCTGGGTAGTAGTTGGAGAATAAACATATTGGCCACCATATTTTGCATTGCCATACTGGTTCCCTGCTTCTTGTGTTCTTGATAAACTTTTATCCACAGCTTGAATGGGATCTCTTCTTAGTCCCTAAAGTTATAATTGAAAGAAAAGAAAAGGAGTACTCATCAGATCTTGTTTGTGCTTAGAAAATATATTTTATGCTAGAACTACCCTTTTAATGGTTGCCACATTAAGAATAGAAAAAAAGAAAGAAAAGAATAGTATTTATTAAGCATAGAAAGAATTTAAATTAGAAGTAGATGCAAATAGTGGATTGGGGTGCAGCGGATGAGAGCCCTCCACCTTTAATAAAAGGTTTCGGGTTCGAATCCTTTTGAGCTGGTGGGTTTTAGATACTGAATGGTCATACAAGAAAGAGGCGAATCCAATCATGAGTTCGCGTGTTCGACAGAACTCAAGTGTTTCAAGGTCTAGCCTTAATGCGAAAAATAAGTATAGATAAAGCTGAATAGAGTTGCATGCAGGCATAGGCGGAGCTAGGAATTAAACCTTACGGGCTCAGGATTATAATCCTTTTAAGTTATTGGGTTCTAAGTGAATAATTTGTACATATTTGTAAAATTTAATAATAATACAAGGTTTGAACAAAAATTATTGAGTTCGATCAAACCAGCGATCAACACCTTGGCTTCGCCACTGCATGCAGGATGCAGCGGAGGAGTGAATTGCAAGGGAAAATCATAGAGAGTAAATTAATACCGTGGAAGGTGGACCAAAAACGGAACCAAATAGCGACGGGTATGAGGGCTCTTTGGGACCAAACAGATCATTAGTAAAGGACGACGACGAAGATGAACCAACTATTTGCTTTGCCTTCTCCATATATAATTTTGCAAAACTAAATAACCGATACAGTTCCCAAGAAACAGAAATGGATAAGGTCTTTAAATATTTTGCAGAGAGAGGCTAGTAATTTTTTCTTTTGGTTAGGGATGAGGAGAGGAGGACTGGAGGAGACAATATTATAGAATGTTACAACTTGATTTGTGTGATTGTCACTGATATTTATAGCAGCAAAGCAAAAAAGATTCACTCACCCTAGGGACGGATATACACTATACCAGTGGCAAATCTAGAAATTCTCTAAGGTTGTTTAAACTTGAAAAAAGTGAAAATAATTCTCCGATAAAAGGGTGTTCAATTTATGTTATTTGCCTCTAAAATCTTATAAAAGGCAGTCCGGTGCACTAAGCTCCCGGACCATAAGGGTCTATTGTACGCAGCCTTACCCTGCATTTCTGCAAGAGTCTGTTTCCACGGCTTGAACCCGTGACCTCCTGGTCACATGAACTGACCACCCTTAAGTAAATGTAGCTTCACCATTGGACTATACCATATATGGGTTTCGCATAACCAAATAATTTTAGTCCAAATTTTTGTATATGTTAACAAATTCATTTTTAATAATTAAACTTAAAACCTAATAGCACTAGCACTCCCAAAATTCATAATGTTCAAATCTTAAATTCGCCTGACATTTATCGTATGTCATCAGTACCAGCGGGGGAAGTGTCAATGATGAAGATGGTTTATGCGAGTTGGGGCCCATTTATCACTTCTTTCTCCCAATAATATATACTTACACACACATGGTCATGGAGAACAAATGCTGACAAGTGAACATGTTCTTTTCTCTATGTTGTAACAATGTGACATTGAATGCAACTATTTTTCATTGAAAAGTAAATAATTTAGCAAGTAATTTTGCTTACTTCTAAATTAATTATTATTTTTGTAAAGGAGTACCTGTAAATATTTTTTAGATCATCTGATAGTTCAAATCCTTTTTTTAATATGTGAATATATGTAAGTTAAACTCTCTACATATATCTATAGCATATATGTAGATTTTTTTTTTTTTTTTTTTTTTTTTTGTTGTTGTTGTTGTTGTTGTAATCACTGAAATAAGCACCAACTTAGAACCTATCATATTTAACAAAAGGAAAAGGAAAAAAAAGTATGTATTCACTCTGTCACATTTGTTTTTCAAGTGTCAGTTTGGCCGGTAAGGTGAATAAAATGGACGTATAAAGTTACGTTTAGAAATAAAAATATAAAAATTCAAGTATACAAAGAAATATTCTTTTTTTTTTTTGGTTTCCAGCCGGTGTCGGTTACCCGCATTGAGACCCGACTAAATTCGAATTCGCATCGAAAAATTTTATATTGGAATAAAGCACTCCCTAACAAAGACGACTCCATACCCAGAGCTCGAACTTATAAAAATAATCTTACAGATTAAGTCAAATGAGAAGAAGGGGTACTTGGGAAGTAAGACCAAGTGAAGAGCCACCCATAAGGCGATACTAATAGATAGATGGATAAGGTCATCTTTATCTGTCTATCAAGTTGCGGTTATTCGCATATTTTGAGTCTCTAGATCTCACCAAAACAAATAGTAGTTGACTCTCTTTTAATTTCTCCATTTCCTTATTTAATTTGCCTTTTATGGTCCCATTCTTCTCTTTTGGCAGAAACACCAAAAGATATATCGTCAAACCTCTTTGTATTTGGTTGCTATAGTTAAATGTCGTTATAAAGAACATATATTATAATATAACATGAAAAATGATTCCGAAGAAAACTTAACCGCATTATAATGACGTATTATTATAGAGGATGATTGTTGTATATATATATCTCTATTGTGTTTTGTAATCTCTAGAATCGTGGGCAAAATCTTTGTTAAACATTGAGCATAGAATATTTTGATTTGTGATAACGAAAGATCTAGCCATGTGATAATAAAATGTCAAAACTCTATTCCTTTACCTCATTTTTCTTTTGGGAGAATTATTCCTTTAGTGTGAATACTATCACTTATTTAGTTGCTGTTTAGTTATTGGACTTGGATATGTATTCCCAAATAGTTGGTCTTTACTCTCAACGACTTTGTATTATCTAGTCCTATCTAGAAGCATAAGGCCTTTCCATGTACATAAAGTATTTCATATCTTTTTTCTTGCTTATTTTCTAAGGTCAACTACGCAATATTCACTCCTTTTTTACTTGATTTTCAGATAGTTCAGTTGTATGTAATTGAGAATATGAAGGTTTGGTGAAACATGGACTAGATTGGGTATATTTCCTAGCTACTTGACCTCAATGTATAAATTTTTTATTCCATCAGATTATATTGACTTACAACACAAGAATTTTTTTTATGGTAAGCCCGAGATGGTACCTATAAAATAAAATAATAACCTACTGTAACATGTTAAATTAAACTGTCAATAGCTCTTTGATTGAAAGAAAATGATTCCTATAATACATAATTCCAGTCGAGTCCAAAGGAATTTACAACTTGTTTGGATGGTTGTTACCTATTGTATTCTATTGCATTATTATTTTAAATAAAATATTTATTTTGATTGTTATATTAAAGTTTATTGTATTATATTATTAAATCTGTCGTTATGTCACGACAAAATGTGCCACTTTATGTAATGACCGATTTGGTGGGTCACGTTGTTACCCTTTTTTTTCCTCTCATTTTGTCCTTCCTTATTATTAAATAATCCTATTTTATCATTTAATCTATGTTTTTATATAATAATTTTATCCCGTATCTTACATTTTCTTTGTAATAGTATGTTAAGTTGAGAGATTGAGCTATGGGTCTGGTGCTTGGGCCTGGATTGCATTGCAGAGTTGGGCTTCGGTTAACATCCCCCCTCAAGCTGGATGGTGGAAACACACCAAGCTTGCCCAAAAGTGTGTGGTGAAGAGGGACATATAAGTCCTTGGTCAAGATGTCAGCCAGTTGATCAGAACTGCGAACAAATTGGAGAGACACCAGCCCAGAAGATAAGTAGTCGCGTACATAGTGACAGTCCACCTCTATATGCTTTGTGCGCTCATGAAAGACCGGGTTCTTGGCAATGTGTAAAGCAGCTTGGCTGTCACAAAATACATGTACATTCTTGGGGCTATATGCTAAGTTCTCCAAATGTGAGTTTTGGCTTGAGTCAGTAGCATTCTTGGGGCATGTTGTATCAGGAGAGGGTATTAAAGTGGATCCTAAGAAGATTGAGGCAGTTCAGAGTTGGCCACGTCCTACTTCAGTGACTGAGATCAGGAGTTTCCTGGGGTTAGCAGGTTATTACCGCCGATTCGTGCAGGGCTTTCATCCTGCATCACCTTTGACTAGATTGACCCAGAAGGGTGCTCCTTTCCGTTGGTCCGATGATTGTGAGGCGAGCTTTCAGAAGCTCAAGACAACCTTGACCATAGCACCGGTTCTAGTGTTGCCTTCCGGTTCAGGATGTATACGGTATATTGTGACGCTTCATGCATTGGCTTGGGTTGTGTATTGATGCAGAAGGGGCGAGTTATTGCATATGCTTTACGTCAGTTGAAGATACATGAGAAGAATTACCCTGTGCACGAATGCTCTTAAGATATAGAGGCATTATCTGTATGGGGTGTCATGTGAGGTTTATATTGATCATCGCAGCTTGCAACATTTGTTCAAACCGAGGGATCTCAATTTGAGGCAGCGTAGATGGCTTGAGTTACTGAAGGATTCTGACATCACCATTCTTTATCATCCGGGCAAGGCAAATATGGTCGCGGATGCCTTAAGCAGGAAAGCAGAGAGTATGTGTAGCTTGGCATACATTTCAGCGGAGGAGAGACCACTAGCTTTGGAAGTTCAGTCCTTGGCTAACAGACTTGTGAGGTTGGACATTTCAGAGCCCAGCCGAGTCCTTGCGTGTGTTGTTGCTCAGTCTTCATTATTGGACAAATCAAGGCTCGGCAGTTCGATGAACCGCATTTGGCTGTTCTCAGGGAGACGGTGCTACAGGGTAGTGCCAAGGAGGTTTCTATTGGCAAGGATGGTGTTCTGCGACTCCAGGGTCGCCTATGTGTTCCTAATGTCGATGGCTTGAGGGAGAGGATTCTAGAGGAGGCACACAGTTCACGGTATTCTATTCATCCAGGTGATACGAAGATGTATCGTGACCTGACGCATCATTATTGGTGGCGGCGGATGAAGAAAGACATAGTTAAGTATGTGGCTAGGTGCTTGAATTGCCAGCAGGTTAAGTATGAGCACTAGAGGCCAGGTGGCCTACTTCAGCAGATGCCTATACCTGAGTGGAAATGGGAGCGCATTACTATGGACTTCGTAGTTGGGTTGCCGTGGACCTTGCGGAAGTTTGATGCAGTTTGGGTCATTGTCGATAGGTTGACCAAGTCGGCACATTTCATTCCGGTTGTCACCACTTATACTTCAGATATGTTGGCTCAGATCTACATTCAAGAGATAGTTCGGTTGCACGGTGTGCCTGTCTCCATCATATCTGATAGAGGCCCTCGGTCCACTTCCCATTTCTAGAGAGCCGTGCAGAGTGAGTTGGGGACCCGTGTAGAGCTCAGCATAGCATTTCACCCACAGACCGACGGGCAATCGGAGCGGACAGTTCAGATTCTGGAGGACATGCTTAGAGCATGTGCGATTGACTTTGGAGGGCAGTGGGATCAGTTCTTGCCTTTTGGCTGAGTTTGCTTACAACAACAGTTATCAGTCCAGCATCGAGATGGCTCCATTTGAGGCTTTGTATGGTCAGCGATGTCGTTCTCCTATCGGGTGGTTTGATCTTGGCGAGGCTAAGTTGTACGGTACTGACTTGGTGAAAGATGCCTTAGAAAAGGTAAAGTTGATTCAGGAAAGACTTCGCACAGCACAATCCAAACAGAAGAGTTATGCGGATCAGAAGAGGCGGGATGTATCATTCATGGCCGGCGAGAAGGTTCTCTTGGAAGTCTCGCCGATGAAGGGTATTATGAGATTCGGGAAGAAAGGCAAGTTGAGCCCAAGGTTTATAGGCCCATTTGAGGTGTTGAGGCGAGTTGGGGAGGTTGCCTATGAGCTTGCTTTACCTCCCAGCCTATCAGGGGTTCACCTAGTTTTCATGTGTCTATGCTTCGGAGGTATCACGCCGACTTGTCTCATGTGTTAGACTTCAGTACTATTCAGCTAGATGAGAGCTTGGGTTATGAGGAGGAGCCAGTTGCCATTGTTGATAGACAGGACCGCCAATTGAGATCCAAGAGGATTTCTACGGTGAAGGTCCAGTGGAAGGGCCAACCAGTCGAGGAGCCGACCTGGGAGTCCGAGGAGGACATGCGGAGCAGATATCCACACTTATTTAGCACTTCAGGTATGAATCTAAACCCGTTCGAGGATGAATGTTTATTTAAGAGGTGGAGAATGTAACGACCCGGCTGGTCGTTTTTCTTTATAGAACCCCGTTCCCCTAAATAAGACTTCCCGTACTTGCTTTTACTGCTTTATGACTTGCGGGGATGGTTGGATCAGGATTTGGAAGAGTTTGGGTTAAAATCGGAACACTTGGTTCCTTAAGGCTGGCTTAAAAGGCCAAGTTTGACTTCGGTCAATGTTTTGAGCAAACGACCTCGGAATCGGATTTGAAGGTTCCAACAGGTTCTTATGATGATTTTGGACTTTGGCGTATGTCCGGATCGGGTTTTGGATGACCCGGGAGCGTTTTGGCGCCTAATAGTGAAAGTTGATTCCTTAAGGATTTTGAAGTTCTTTAAATTTGGTTTGGTACAAGTTTTTGTGTTATCAAGGTCCGAACGGAATTCCGAGACCAGGAATAGTTCCGTATTGTCATTTAAGACTTGCACGCAAAATTTGGTGTCAATCCGAGTAGTATAAGTACGTTTCGGCACATTGAAAGTAGATTGAAGAACTTGAAGTTCATAAGTTTGATTCAATTGGTTTTAGGGTGTGATTCTTAGATTTAGCATTGTTTCGGGCGTTCCGAGGGTTCGTGCGAGTCTGTTTTATGATTCCAAACTTGTCAGTATGTTCAGGTAGGGCCTCGGGGGCCCTGAGCGTCAATCGGACGAGGCTCGAGCTAAGTTAAAAATTTGAGAAGGAGCTGAAGCTCCAGTTCTGTCATAACCGCACCTGCGGTTGGCCAGCCGCAGGTGCGAGACCGCAGAAGCGGCTTACCCATCGCAGATGCGGCTCAAGGGGAGGAGCCAGGTTCAGCAGATGCAGCTCCTTTTCCGCAGAAGCGGAACCGCAGAAGCGGTCCCAAGACCACAGATGCGGCCCCAGCTAGCCCGGCCCAATACTGCAGAAGCGAGCAATCCCACGTAGAAGCGAGACCGCAGATGCGGTCCCCTAACCGCAGGTGCGGAAATCGCTGAAGGTTGTGGCCTTCATTTAATACGGGAATGTGTCATTTTTGACACATTTCACTCCATTCTCGGGCGATTTGGGAGCTTCAAAAGGGGAGATCTCAGCCTAGTATTGTGAGGCAAGTTAATTCTACTTAATGTGAGTGTAATACATAGTTTATGGGTAGATTACACCATGTAAATTAGTGGAAATTATGGGTTTAGAGTAAAACCTAGGGTTTTGACAAAAATTAGATTAAACCACGAAATTTGTTATGGAATGTAGCAGAAATCATATATTCTTGATCCTTAGGTTATGGGTAACAACTTTCTTCAAAAATTTCTAGAATCCGGGCAAGTGGGCCCGGGGTGAATTTTAGGAATCTTGTATTCAGGGTTGGAAAATTAGTTTAATAGTTAGAATATGAACTCCATATATTGACTAGTTCTTATCCCATTTGAATAGTTTTGGATCGTTCGGCTCCGATTTGAGGGTTTGAGCGTATTCTTGAAATTTGAAGTAAGCTTTGGGACAAGGTAAGTCTCCTTTCTAACTTTGTGAGAGGGAATTAACCCCATAGGTGAATTAAATAAATGTATGTGACTATCTGTGGGGGCTACGTACTTACGTAGTGACGAGAGTCCATACGTAGCTACTATTATGCTAATCGTCCAGGTAGTTTAGGATCCGTATCATGCTATACTTGCAAATGCTTGCGTCCTTGCTTGTTACTAAGAGCACTTAGGTCATGCTAAAAATTGGTAAATAAATATAGACGACTATACTCACTTACTTGAGAACTTGTATGAATTATTTGACTGTAAATGGGCAATGTGTGCTTACTTGATAATAAATTGCTATTTGTGGATCGGGCCGATTGCCTCGGTAGTAAATAGATGCATTTATGGTTCGCGCCATTCGACCCTCTGTCTGTGAAAAGTTTAATATTATGTTGGACCGGGTCGTACGACCTCGGCATAATGCGTGCATGTTATTTATTTGGAACTTCCCGTGATTTTACTGCTTAAATGTTTGAAAGATAAGCTGTTACATGATGTAGTTGGAACTTGACATGTTGTTTACGAAATAATGTCTTACTTCTCCATGATCTTAATCTGTCATTATTATTTATGCTATCCATGATTAGCGTAACACTTGAATTATATTATTATTGACCCTAGTAAGTGTCAAGTCGACCCCTCGTCACTACTTCTTCGAGGTTAGACTGTATACTTACTGGGTACATATTGTTTATATACTCATACTACGCTTCTGTACTTAAATGTACAGGATCTGAGGCAGGTGCATCTGGTTACCCGTCCGGTGCGCATCCCTGATACTTGATCGAGATCACACGGCAAGCTGCCCTCTTCCGAGCCGTTCAGCAACATACCGGAGTCTCTCCTTTTGTCATTACTGTCTATCCTGTTTCAGGCAGTAGGATAGTTATATTCTTTTGTACATTGTACTAGTTGCCCTCATACTTGTGACACTAGCTCCTGGCACACACAATAGTAGACTATTATTTTTGGGTTGTATTAATATTGCTATGATCCCTTTTAGTCTTTCCCGATTCAGTCTCCTTATAATTTGTTAGTTATCGATTGTTTTGAATTTAAGTTAATTAAAATGTCGAAAATGATTATTTAAAGGAATGAGAACTCACTAGTTGATTAGGGTTGGCTTGTCTAACAACGGTGTTGGACGCCATCACGGCCTATAATGAAAATTGGGTCGTGACACCCCTTGTTGGAGAAGATGATCGGTAGGATCACCAACTGGACATCAAGATTCTTGTCATATGCTGGTCGACTTCAACTGATCAAAACTGTCCTATTCTCTATCCAAACATTCTGGTCTCAGATCTTTCTGTTGCCTAAGAGGATTGTGAGTCTGATTGAAGCTGCTTGTAGGAAGTTCTTGTGGACTGAGGCACTACTCTGACCAAGAAGGCCTTGCTTGCATGGAGTAGAGTGTGCTACCCAAAGTCAGCAGGAGGATTCAATGTGTTGGATATACATGTGTGGAACAAAGCTGCAATTTACAAGCTCTTGTGGAACCTATGTAGAAAGAAAGATAAATTATGGGTCCAATGGGTTCACATATACTATGGGAAAGGAAGGAACATATGGTAAATAGAGCCACAATATGCTACATGGATGGTTAAGAAGATACTAAAATCCAAGAAGAGCATTGAGGAAGCAGGAATACAAGTTAGTGATCTATGTAATATGGCAACATTCTCTATCAAATGGATGTATTAGAAGATGAGAGGTTAATATAATAAAGTGCCATGGAGGAGACTAACATGCAATAATCATAGCCCACCCAAATGGGTATTCATTCTTAATTTGGCAATTCAGGAAAGGCTGAGTACTTTAGACAGGTTGGCCTAATGGGGCATAGTAGACAACCAGGTATACTATTTGTGCAAAGAGCAACCAGAAACCATGCACATCTATCCTACGGTTGCAAATTTTCTACAGAAGTTTGGAGAAGACTGTTACAATGGCTGAAGATTAGCAGGCCACTACTGGCATGGCACGAAGAAATCCAGTGGGCAAGCACAAACATGAGAGGAAAATCAAGTGGAGCAGAGATATATAAAATGGCCCTAGCTGGGAGTGTCTACTTGATATGGCAAGAGAGGAACCTAAGACACTTTCAAGGCAAGCACAAATCAGTTGAGACTATAACTAAGATGCTGGTTCAGGAGATATTTTGTAGAATCTACAGGGTTGGAAAGCTAAATAGAAGTGTAGAAACATTAAACTGTTATCCATAGACTTATTATACGGAAAGGGTGAGATACTTGTATATTGAGGGAAATAGGAGTTGTCAAATGACAGTTTGAAATGAAAAGTTCAATCTGTTGGAGTTTCATATTTTGTAGTTTCTGTACATAACTTCAAAGGTAATGGAAATTTAGTTACCAAAAAAAAAAAAGTCGTTTTCTTAGCACTGTATTAACTTTTAATTTTATATTTGTTCTAGTTTCAACCAACACTTAGACATTTTTAGCAATCTTTAATGGTGAGAAGTTTGATTTAAACACTGTCCGATTTGCTAATATTTTTATTATTAATTTTTAACATATAGTTTTTTAGAAAAATAATTTTTACTCACCAACAAACACGGGATAACATATTGTTCTAGGAACATATTCTCCGTAAAAGACATTTTTCCAAAAATATTTTCTCTTCGAAAAAAGTAATTTTTGTCGCACCAAACACATGTAAAACTTTCGCGTGAGATTCAATTTTCTAGTCAGGATTTTGATGGAACAAGATATTCTTTCCTTGATATAGGTCATCTAGTCCCTCAATATTCCCTTAGAATTATTGCTTATAGATTGGCCACTATATACACAATACACACGGGAAGAAGGGACATAAGCGGATTCAGAATTTAGATTCTACTTGTTTAATATTTAAGGTTTTTAATTTAGCATTGAATCAATTATATATTTAAAGTTATGAGTTCATACAACTATTTATTGTAATTTAATAAAATTTTATACTTAAATCTATATTCCGTGCTAAAAGTACTCAGTTCAGTTGAATCTGGTAACATTACTTTGAATCCGCCCACAGAAGGGAGCTAGAGAGAGAGATTGCAACATGTTGGCCACTGATAAGTGTTAAGATTAGTTAGTTGGATTTATATTAATTAGATAAATACAAGAGAAATTCAGCAACTGCAAGGAGGATTAACTCATGTACAAGCTTGGCTTAGTTCATCTAAAAGAAAATGCTTTGATCTCTTATCTCCTGAATTTGAACAGAAAAAAAAGGAAATTAATTTCAGGAAATTAATTTAATTAGGATTAAAATGAAGGAATTAAAGAAAATTAAAAAAACATAGAGAATTAATTATCTCTCCTTTACCTAAGTAATTACAGAGGAGATTTACATGGACAAAGGCAAGGCCTTAGTAGTATAGTGATCCTGCAGAAAGAACCAAAATATATCAGTCGAATTTATGTGACATTATTTCATTATTAATTTGTTACAAAAAAGAATGACATATTTTTATATTTGCAAATAAGTTAATTTTAGACTTCCAATTCTATCTTNATATATATATATATATATATATATATATATATATATATATATATATATATATATATATATATAAAACGGTCATATAATTTGCTTGGGACACTGGTTGAGCAGTCCACTCATGTGCACCCCCCCCACCTTTAAATCCTGAATCTGCCTCTAATCTTTAACGAGAAGCTTTTATATATAGCCAACACAAATATTATGACAATTTAAGATCCTAAGTTCCAAAAGTGTAACAACCACACAAATATTATGACATATTTAAAATCATAAGTAGTTTCAAAGGTGCTCTTTTCTTTTTTTAAACTCCGTCTTAAATAAAATTAATTAGATAACATAAATTGAAACGGTGGAGTATCATAAGTCTTAATAATATCAGACTTACCCTGCCACCAATTTCCTCTTGAAGCAGAGTTTGAACCATCACCTCCATCATCTTTCTTCACCTAATTAATCAAGTAAGCAGAAAAATAGACAATTCATAAACTGAATTTGGACGCTAATTTCAGTTACTTTTCACCGGTAAATATTTTGATATACTTACAATATTACTCTGAGAGCCAGTTGGCTGGGTAGTAGTTGGACAATAAACATATTCTCCCATGCCTCTTTTAGATCCATTATCTGTAAACAAAAATTAAAATTCAGCATAAGAAAAAATAACAACTCCGAAAAAGATGTTTTTCTTTTTTACATATTTAAGCAATATATTGTTGTTAAATAAGTGAGGGAAAATATATTCCGAAACCTGAAGTTCCATATTTTGCATTGCCATAGTACTGGTTCCCTGGATATTGGGTTTTTGATGAACTTCTATCCCCAGCTTGAATGGGATCTCTTCTAAGTCCCTAAAGTTATAATTGAAAGAAAAAAATGGAGTACTCATCAGATGTTGTCTGCGCTTAGAAAATATTGTATGCCTAAGAATTAAGATTAAAGCCACCCTATTAATGGTAGCCACATTAAGAAAAGAAAAAAATAAAGAAAATATAGTAGTAATTAAGCCTAGAAAGTAGTTAAATTAGAAGTAGAGGCAAAGGGTGGTTGTGGTGCGGTGGATGAGACCCCTCCACCCTTAACGAAAGGTTTCGGGTTCGAATTCTTTCGAGCTGGTGGGTTCTAGATACTGAATGATTATACAAAAAAAGAGGCGAATCCAATCATGAGTTCGCGTGTTCGACAAAACTCAAGTGTTTCGAGCGAGGTCTAGCCTTAATATGAAAAATAAGTATAGATAAAGCTGCATAGAGTTGCATGCAGGCAGAGGCCGTGCTAGGATTTAAATCTTACGGGTTGGGATTATAATCATTTTAAGTTAACGAGTTTTACATTAATAATTTATACATATTTATTGTAGGGTTTAAACAAAAGTTACTGGGTTCGGCCAGTGGCAGAAGCAGAACTTTTGCTAAGGGGGTTCAGAAAAGGAATAAGTTAAAAAATTTAATGAGATTATAGCTAGTGAGAATTGAACCAATGACCTCATAATTGAACCAATGACCTCATAATGGTTTTGAACCCCCTTGACCACTAAGCCATGCTTTTGGGCTGTGTGAAGGGGATTCAAAACATAATATATATATATATATATATATATATTTTTTTTTTTCCTTATATACACTTTGTAATTTTTCGGCGAAGGAGGTTCGGATGAACACCCTTGCGCCGTCTAAATCCGCCCCTGGGTTCGGCCGAACAGCCACCAACACTGTGGCTTCGCCCCTGCATGCGGGATGCAGTAGAGGAGTGAATTGCAAGGGAAAGTCATAGAGAGTAAATTAATACCGTGGAAGGTGAACCAAAAACGGAACCAAATAGCGACGGGTTTGAGGGCTCTTTGGGACCAAACAGATCATTAGTGAAGGACGACGAAGAAGATGAACCAACTACTTGCTTTGCCTTCTCCATATATAATTTTGCAAAACTAAATAACCGATACAGTCTCCCAAGAAACAGAAATGGATAAGGTCTTTAAATATTTTGCAGAGAGAGGCTAGTAGCTTTTTCTTTTCCTTTTGGCAGATTCAAAAGAACAGAATTGGTTTTGGTTAGGGATGAGGAGAGGAGGACTGGAGGAGACAATATTATAGAATGTTACAACTTGATTTGTTTGAAGAAACAAAGTTTGTCACTGATATTTATAGCAGCAAAGCAAAAAAGATACACTCCCCTGGGGGTATATCAAGTGGCATCCACCTGACCCTATGTATTATAAATTAAATGTTGATGGATCTTGCTGTCACACTCAATATAATTATGGGATTGGAGGAGTCATACGCGACCATCAAAGCAATTGGATCATAGGATTTGCAGGAGGTGTCCAACAAGGCAGCCCTACCCAAATAGAATTGCTAGCCCTCCTCAAAGGCTTACAAATTGCTGCCAAACAAAATCTACTGCCACTCATTATTGAGACAGATGCACAAAATGTGCTTGGTATGTTAAACTCACCTGCCTTGAACTGTATTAACATTGTTACTGATTGCAGGTCATTACTCCAATAGCTGGATAGAGCATCTGTTCAAGTTATCTATAGAGAGCAGAACGGTGTAGCAGACACACTCGCTAAATATGGTGCAATGCATGTCCAGGAGCAATGCCTACTTTTTGAATCACCACCACTTTTTGCACAGTCTTATTACCATCAAGATCATCAGGGCATACTCCATCTCCGGAAGACTCGGCAGTCTAGTAGTTCTAGTTATGTAAATTCTACTATATGTACTAAACAACCTACTTTAGTAGCTTCTGCTCTCATATCTAGTTTTGCTACCCCAGTAGGGGAAAATCTATCATCTAAGGATCCTTTTGTACAAATGATGCCTTGTAGGCATCCACCACTCTAACCTTATGTAAGTTTGTTATGTTATAATATTGCCTATCTTTCTTACCAAAAAAAAAAAGATATAGACCGTACGAGTGGCGTAGCTACAAATTTCTTTAAGGGTGTCCAAACTTGAAAAAAGTGAAAATAATTCTCCGACAAAAGGTGTTCAATATATGTTATTTGCCTCTAAAACCTAATAAAGGGCAGTCCGGTGCACTAAGCTCCCGCTGTGCGCGAGGTCCGGGGAAGCCCCCGGACCACAAGGGTCTATTGTACGCAGCCTTACCCTGCATTTCTGCAAGAGGCTGTTTTCACGACTTGAACCCGTGACCTCCTGGTCACATGACAGCAACTTTATCAATTACACCAAGACTCCCCTTCATCTAAAACCTAATATTTTAATTATATATACGATATAATTTTTCGTCAAAGGGTGGATTGACCACCCTTAAGTAAATGCAGCTTCACCTGGGGACTATACGACATATGGGTTTTGCAAAACCAAATAGTTTGGTCCATATTCTGTATATGTTAAGAAATTCATTTATAATAATTAAACTCAAAACCTAATAGTACTAGCACTTAAAAATGATGTCCTAAAATTTAAAATTCATAAAATTCAAATCTCAAATTCGCCAACATTCATCCTAGGTCATCACTATCAGCCAGGGAAGGGTCAATGATCAAGATGGTTTATGCGAGTTGGGGCCCATTTATCACTTCTTTCTCCCAATAATATATACTTACAGACACATGGAGAACAAATGCTGACAAGTGACCATGTTCCTTTCTCTATGTTGTAACAATGTGACATTGAATGCAACTATTTTTCATTGAAAAGTAAATATTTTAGCAAGTAATTTTGCTTACTTCTAAATTAATTATTTTTTTCTGTAAAGGAGTACCTGTAAATATTTTTTAGATCATCTGATAGTTCAAACTCTTTTTTTAATATGTGAATGTATGTAAGTTAAAAACTCTACATATATCTATAGCAGATATGTAGAGTTTTTGGTTGTTGTTGTAATCATTGGAATAAGCTGCAACTTAGAACTTATCATATTTAACAAAAGCAAAAGGAAAAGAAAAGTGTATATGTATTCACTCTGTCACATTTGTTTATTAAGTGTCAATTTCGCCGGTTAGGTGAATAAAATGGATGTATAACGTTACTTTTAGAAATAAAAATATATAGATTCAAGTATACAAAGAAATATTCTTTTTTTGTTTTGTTTCCCACCCGATGTCCGTTATCCGTGTTGGGGCCCAACTAAATCGGAATTCGCAACAGTAAGTTTTACATTGGAGGTAAAGCGTTCCCTAGCAAAGACGACTCCATACCCAGACTCGAACTTATGGAAAAATCTTACAGATTAAGTCAAACGAGAAGAAGGGGTACTTGGAAAGTAAGACTAAGTGAAGAGCCACCCATAAGGAGATACTAACAGATAGATGGATAAGGTCATCTTTATCTGTCTATCAAGTTGGGGTTATTCGCATATTTTGAGTCTCTAGATCTCATCAAAACAAATAGTAGTTGACTCTCTTTTAATTTCTTCATTTCCTTATTTAGTTTGCCTTTTATGGTCCCATTCTTCTCTTTTGGCAAAAACACCAAAAGATATACCGTCAAACCTCTTTGTATTTGGTTGCTATAGTTAAATGTCGTTATAAAGAATATATATTATAATATAACATGAAAAATAGTTCCAAAGAAAACTTAACCGTTATAATGACGTATTATTATAGAGGATGACTGTTGTATATATATCTCTCTTGTGCTTTGTAATCTCTAAAATCGTTGGCAAAATCTTTGTTAAACATAGAGCATAGAATATTTTGATTTGTGATAACGAAAGATCTAGCCATGTGATAATAAAATGTCAAAACTTTATTCCTTTACCTCATTTTTCTTTTGGGAGAATTATTCCTTTAGAGTGAATACTATCACTTAGTTTAGTTGCTGTTTAGTTACTGTTGGACTTGGAGAATTTCTTTGTATTCCCAAGTAGTTGGTCTTTACTCTCGACGACTTTGTAGTATCTAGTCCTATCTAGAAACAAAAGTCCAATTCCATGTATAAAGTATCTCCTATCTTTTTTCTTGCTTATTTTCTAAGGTCAACCACGCAATATTTGTCATGATCCAAAACCAACCATCGTGATGACGCCTATCTTGATACTAGGCAAACCACTACTCAACATCTAAAGCACAATAAAAACTTTGAAAAATAAGGAAGGAAACCATTAATATTTAAGAAAAAAAACAAGAAAAATAGCCTTTTTGAAACAGAAATAATCCGAATATACGATACAATCTATCCCAAAACAGGGGTGTCACAAAGTACATGAACATCAATACCGGAATACACTCTACTACAATGTCTAGGGAATAAAAACTGAAATACAGATAGAGATAATGGAGGAGAGTCAAGGCCTGCGAACGCCATGCAGCTACCTCGATAGTCTCCGAATCCTGACCTCTCGATCAGCAGTCGCCGTGACCCGGAGCACCTGAATCTGCACACGAGGTACAGGGTGTAACGTGAGTACAACCAACTCAGTAAGTAACAAGTCCAACCTTTGGAGTGAAAGGTAGTGACGAACTCAACCGGCACAATTCAAAATAGAAATAACAATGCAGAAATATAGGCATGCTTTTAAGTTAATTGGTAGCTCAAAACAGTAAAATAGATCAAATCTGAACAATGTGAAGAATATAACTCTTCTACTTCTATATGTCAATGCACATGCTGTATGAGATGCACCGTGCTAACAACCTCATGTGCTTACACTCTCAAATGCTCAATCACACGGTACTGTATATGGCCCATACGGCCCAGAGAAGATCTATCTTGGAATATATATATCACTGACCATCAGTCACCTAATACAGAGTAAGTCCACTCCAGCCCGTGGAGAAGATCCATCTCCAGGTATATAATGCTTCGGACAAGATCCATGTCCAAGGAAGATGCATCCCTCGATAATATCAATAGCGCTCACTGTGGGTATGTACAGACTCCGGAGGGGCTCCTTCGGCCCAAGCACTATCATAAATCAGTATAACCGCTGTGGCGTGCAGCCCAATCCTATATCTGTCACTCATAATCAGGCTCTTGGCCTCACTCAATCATCAATCTCTCCAGTCTCACTCACGGGCTCACAATGTCATGAAAAACTAGCCCGAAACAATGATATGATGTATCAATAAATAACAACTAAGACTGAGATATGATGTGAAATGAATGAATATGATTGAGTACGAAATATCAATGAAATCAGTAAGATGACAGCAAGAAACGACCACTATGGGTCCCAACAGTACCGGCATAAAGCCTAAACATGATATCTAGCATGATTGATAGCTCAATTACTTTATCACATGATGAAAATACGGATATCAACAAGATAGAACCACTATATAGTGCCATGGAATCGACTAGGTCACAATTTTCACGGTGCACACCCGCACGCCCGTCACTTGGCATGTGCGTCACCTCAGTACCAATCACATAACACATAATTCGGGGTCTCGAACCCTTAGAACCAAGTTTGAAAGTGATACTTACCTCAATCCGAGCGAAACTCTACTCCGAAATGCCTTTGCCTCTCAAATTAGTTTCCAAACGTCCCGAATCTAGCCACAAACAGACATTACAATTATTACAGGCTAAAAGGATCAATTCCACAAGAATAATACTAAATTATAGTCAAAATCCGAAATCGGCTCAAACCCGGCCCCTGGCCAACGTCTCGAAATCCGACAAAAGTCACATAAAACTCGAAAGCCCATTCACTCACGAGTCTAACCATACTAAATTTATCAAAATGCGACAAAAAGTGGTCATTCACATTCCCAAAATTCACTCTCCAAATCCCTAGCCACAAACCCCAAATTTCACCTCAAAAACACACCAACTAGGTGGAAAATTAGTGGGGAAACAGAATTATTGAAGAAAAATGAATACAAGAAGCTTACCTCAAGAATCTCTTCAAAAACCCTCTCAAAAATCTCCAAAATCCAAGCTCAAAATGTAAGAAATGGCCAAAAATCTCGGAACCTCGCTTAAATGGGTTTTGCCCAGGCCTTTTGCGGAAAAGTGAGCGTTTCTGCGCAAACCACTTAATCCTAGCTGCCTTCGCACCTGCGACCTCTGATCCGCATCTGCGCTATCGCAGGTGCGGAAAAACATCGCACCTGCGGACTCTGCTGATCTCCCTCACTTCCGCACCTGCGGCCAAAGCCCTCGCAGGTGCGATCTCACCAGCTGAGTCCAAACTTCAGCAGT